GCTGTTAGGGGGCCCCCATAGTTAGCTGTTAGGGGGCCCCCATAGTTAGCTGTTAGGGGGGGGGGCCCCATTCTGAGCTGTGAGGGGGCGGGGCCCCCAAGCTAAGCTGTTGGGGGGCCCCCATGCTTAGCTGTTAGGGGGGGGCCCCCATACTTAGCTGTCAAAGGAGGCCCCCCATGCATAGCTGTAAGGGGGCCCCCCTTGGGGGCCCCTGTGTCCCGAAGAGGCTGAGGGGGCCCCTAGTCTAAATGAAGCAGCTTTCTTATCTTTTGGACATAGGGGGAGTGCCCAAGGCAGCAGAGTTGCTGCTGCAACCGCTGCTGCTTCTGCTGCAGCAGCAGCAGCGCGTCGCAGCTAGAGGGGAGCAAGCTGCTGTGTGTCGTGGGGTCTCTTAAGTAAAGATCTGCATCTCTAAATGCCCAGCCAAGGGGGGCCCCCACACCTAAACCTATAGAGAACAGCCGGGGGCCCCCTCGCCGAAGCAGCAGCAAGGATGAAACAGCAGCAGCAGCACCAGATAGTGTTGTGTTCACAAGAGCTGCAGCAGCAAAACGCCCATAGACCTCTTTAAGAGGCAAGCTGCTGCTGCTGCTGCTGCCGCTGTTGTTCGCATACCGGTGAGAGCAGCATTTGCTGCACACCCCCTTACACCCTGCCTTGCAGCAGCAACAACTGCTGCTGCAGCTCGAAGACTGCTGCTGCTGCACCCGAGGCAGCTGCCCAAAGGGACCCCTGCCGTCCTGAGACCCCTCAGCTGAGGTCGCCATTCTCTGATGTTACTGCTGCTGCTGCCTCTGGTTGCTGCTGCTGCTGCTGCTGCGTCGGGTTGCCAGTGCTGCTGCGCCGTTTGTGTTGTTGCTGCTGATGCTGCTGCTGCCGTGTCGGCGGTGCTGCTGCTGCTGCGCAGAGGCTTCTGTTCAATATAACGGGTCCGTTATGGCCTGTTCCGTTTATCTGTTCATGCAGCTGCTGCTGTTGATGCCGTCGCCGCTGCTGCTGCTGCTGCTGCTGTTGCTGCTGCTGCTGTGCGGCGGCGGCAGCAGGTGGCCACCTACTTGTAGAAGCAAAAGAAAAGAGAAGAATATCACCTGCAAGAGTTTAAAAGAATTTTGCTGCAATTTTTTCTCGTTTGAAACCGAGCCTGTGGCTGCAGCAGCAGCAGGAAGACAGCAGCAGACCCTAGACCAGCAGCAGCAGCAGCAGCAGCAGCAGCAGCAGCAGCGGAGCTGCTGCAGCAGCGAGCCCCCGGCCGACGGAGGGGCCTTGTGGTGTCTTGTTGTGTGTCTTGTGTCTTTTTTCGCAATATTTAGAGGACATTGCATCTCATTTATGTTGTTGTTTTCGCTGTATCTGCAGCAGCAGCAGCAGCAACAACAACAACAACAACAACTCGCCGCCAACGCGGGGCCCCCAGACCAAGGGCCCCTACCCCCCAGCTGCTGGAGGATCCTCCGAGGGATCGGACGATCCCCGTTGTCTTGAGGTGTATAATTAGCTGCAGTGTATGCGCAGTACACAGCAGCAGCAACAACAGCTGCATGCTCCCTTTAGACCGGCACAGGACCAGACAATACTCCAGCAGCAGCAGCAACAACAGCACCAGCAGCGGCAACAGCAGCAGCAGTAGCAACAGCAGCACTAGCGGCAGCTACTGTTACTCTACCAGCAGCAACGCATAAGACACCCCCAACTCACCCCACACTCGTGCTGGAGCACCTGCAGCAGCTGCCGCAGCAGCTGCAGCGGCAGCTGCTGCAGCTCAATAGGAGGCCTCACTGAGGCTCCCATAGCGGCAGCAGCAGCAACAAGCATTTCAAGGTTTTTGACAGCCTCCTCGTTCCCTTTCAATCAGCAGCAGCCATAGCAGCACCTGCTGCAGCAGCAACAGCAGCATCTACCGAGGCAGACGCAGCATCAGCTGCAGCAGCAACAACAGCAGCAACACCAGCATCCACAGCAGCAGCAGCAACAGCACCGCCCACTGCTGCATCTAGAAGACCAGCCACAGCAGGAACAGCAGGAACAGCAGGAACAGCAGCAACAGCAACAGCAGCAGCAGCAGCAGCAGCTATAGATGGTTTAGCTGGCAGCAGACCCTTTCTTCACCCATGCGGCACCATGCGCGACTTTGTTGCATCTGCCGCACTTCAAGAAGAGGGGGGCCCCTGGGGGCCCCCCTTGGGGGCCCCCCAGGGGGCCCCCCAAGGAAGCCATATAGTGTTTAATAAAGACACCTCAGGGGGGCCCCCTTCACTGTACCCTGAGGATGACTCTGTTGAGGGGTTTGCAGGGGCCCCCTGGGGGCCCCTAGAAACTAACAGTGCTTGGGTAGTATTAAAGGTGTCTCCAGCGCCGCTGCTGATGCTGCTGTTGCTGCTGCTGCTGCTGCTGCTGGTTGGATCTTGGAGGGTTCGAAAGAGGAGAAACGATGCCGCAGTGCAGCTGCGCGAGGAGCAGCAGCAGCAGAAGCAACTCCAGCAGCAGCAGCAGCAGCAGCACAAGACGGGGCTCCCTTATTCTTTTAGAGGGGCCCCCTGTGGGTCCCCCCTTGTGCTGCAGCGTGGTTTTCGAAGCAGCAAGCACGGTACGGCGTGCCTGTGTGCGTTTGTGTTGCTGCTGCTGCTGCTGCTGCTGCTGCTGCTCTTCTGGGTTTATAGAGAGGCAGTCATATCGCAGCAAGACACAGAAGAAGGTTGGAGGAGCCGTGCTAAACCCTTTATTTTTCTTTGGTGTCTCTTACTCGCTACCTTCGCCGGTATGCACACAAACAACACACGAAACACCTTCTCTTAGGGGCCCCCGGGGGGCCCCCCTGTGGGGTTTAGAAGGGGCCCGTAGGGCCCTGCGAAGCTCAAAATAACCCTCTTATGGCCCCCCGTGGGGTCAGAAAAAGTTGCTTGGGGGGCCCCCTTGGGGGCCCCCGTGGGTGTTTTTAAAAGGGTCTCCTCCTATGATAGTACCTCATGCCTAGGGTTTAGGGTTTAGGGTTTAGGGTTTAGGGTTTAGGGTTTGTGTGTACGCAGGCTTGCAAGCATTTGCTCCCTTTATACCTACTTGTTTTCTGTTGAGGGCCCCTCTTGAGTCTTGTAGGTATCTCCAGCTCTCAGATTGGCGTCTCTTAGAAGAAGGAGACAGAGATGAGGAGGGGCCCCCCGGGGGGCCCCCCCGGAGAGTTAAGGGTACAGCAGCAGCCTTAAATAGAGCTATCTACAGGTGCGGCACTCTATACACCCCTCAAACCTCTCCAAACCCTAAACCCTAAACCCTAAACCCCTCTTGCACCTCTTAGGCCTGGCATTCGTTGGGGGCCCCTCCTCCTTGGGGGGCCCTCAAGGGAGGCGTCGACAGCAACGTTTAGATCCTGCTGCTGCTGTCCCTCTGCTGCTCTTGCTGTTGCTGCTGCTGTTGCTGCTGCTGCTGTTGCTGCTGCTGCTGTTGCTGCTGCTGCAGGCTGCAGACCTCAATCTATCTCTTCTGTCTCCGCGTGTTCTTCCAGCGGAGGGGCCCCCAGGAGACACTTTCTCCTTCTTTGGTGCGGGTGCAGCAAGAAGGGGGGCCCCCTGGGGGCCCCAAAGGGGGGCCCCACTTTCGTTATGCGATTAGTCATCATAGGCGGTTTACTTTCGATGAAGAGACAAAGTTATTCGTTTGTACACATAGCGAGATGCCCGAGGTTTGTATAGGGTTTAGGGTTTAGGGTTTAGGGTTTAGGGTTATGTGGGTTTAGGGTTTAGGGCTTATAGGGTTTAGGGTTTAGGGCTTATAGGGTTTAGGGTTTAGCTTTCAGAGGGGGAGGCGTAATAGGGTTTAGGGTTTGGATTTCAGGGTATAAGAGCTATTCGGGTTTAGAGTTTAGGGTTTAGGGTTTAAGGTTTAGGGTTTAGGGTTTAGGGTTTAGGGTTTAGGGTTTATGGTTTGTTGTGTGTGGGGATTAGGAGAAGTGCAGCATTAATATCTTTTTAAACATACTTCAGGAGGGGGGCCTCAAGGAGACAGTTGCTGCAGAGTTGCTGCAGCGCTGCGGGCCTAACGAAGTGCCTGTGGAGCGTGGAGGTCTCCTTCACTCGCTTAAAGGGTAAAGGAGACAGAAAAAAGAAAAGGAGACAGAGAAAGAGACAAAAAGAAAAAGGAGACAGAAAAAAGAAAAGGAGACAGAGACAGAAAAGGAGACAGAGACAGAAAAGGAGACAGAGGAGGACACAGAGATAGAGACAGAGATAGAGACAGAGAATAGAGACAGAGACAGAGGAGGAGACGGAGATAGAGACAGAGATAGAGATAGAGATAGAGATAGAGACGGAGACAGAAACAGATAGAGACAGAGATAGATGGGGAGACAGAGAAAGGGACAGAGATAGAGATAGAGATAGAGATAGAGACAGAAAAGGAGACAGAGATAGAGACAGAGGCAGAGATAGAGACAAAGACAGAGAAAGAGACAGAGACAGGAGGATGTAGATAGACACAGAGACAGCAGAAGAAACCGATAGACAGAGACAGGAGCACAGACAGAGACAGAGGCAGAGACACAAGCATACGGAGACAGAGACAGAGACAGAGACAATACCAGCTGCTAGAACTCCTGATCCATGGGTTTGCTGTTAAGGGTTTAGGGTTTAGGGTTTAGGGTCTGTGTACGATTTGAGGCTTCCCATCTAGGGTTCAGGGTTTAGGGTTTATGCATCGTGTACTATGTAGGGTATCCCGTTTAGGGTTTAGGGTTTAGGGTTTAGGGTTTGCGTATGTGTGGGTGTGTAGGGCGGCACTGAGTCGCGTGAATCTGCTGCAGGTGTTTCTGCTGCTGAATTCTCTCTACTGGAGAAGCTATATATCTTGTTCTTTGTGGTTGCTGCTGGGGTTGTGGGCTGTGCTGCACCAAGGCCTTCTTGCTGCTCGCAGCAGGCAGCAGCTGCATGCAGTGCTGCAGCAAGTTGATACAGCTCAGGTGGCCCTCCTTCGCTCGAATAAAGTCTCCTATCTCCCGGCTCACAGACTCGTACCAGGTACAGCAGCAACAGCAGCAGCAGCAGCAGCAGCAGCAAGCAGCAGCAGAAGCAATGACA